TCTGGATGATTATGTGTATTGGTCTGCATGTGTATAAAATCAGTTATATTTGCTGTGTGAGAAAATCATTACTGAATATGCCGAATATGACGGGTGTTTTCTGAAGAGAGGTTATGTTCAAAGTTATAAATTACGAAAAACTGAGGAGAATTACCGGAAACCATCACCGCGCCCCAGTTGTGTGTAATTACTGTTAGCATGTATATGGCTTGTAATACGGCAGTGAACAGTGAATATAATTATTTCTTATCTCTCTCATTTTTGAAATTCAGCAAATTTGTATATGTAATTTCCAGAATGCATGAATGCATAAGAAAAAGTGGATGCGCAACTAATTTCTAGCTTCGAATCTCAATTAAGTGTATTTGAGACAAAAACTCAATGTAATTATCATCAACACATGCAACTTACAGCTTAGACCTCCAGTAATGCCATCTCAGAAGCAGATTTTACATCACATTAGAGCCAAAGGTGGATAACAAGCCTCGTCACGTTTAGGCAACACGTACAACTAAGTGCTAAGTTAACATCTTGTAGAATAACCTACATAATGTCAAAAAAAAAACAGCATATTGTCAAAAAAAATCGGCATAATTCACTTTTTGAGATACGTCATACCTGTGCCGACCTTGGCAAGTCTTTAACTGCACCTGTTCAAATTTCCGTACCAACTGTAGAATGGTGGGTACATTATTAGTACATTATTTCGACCGAAATCTTGTCGTAGCTTCCGAATCATTGCAACAATCGACTCATTATTTAAGTAAAACGTACTAACAATGCGGACGCGTTGTGGGATCGTGTAGCAGTCCATGATGAATTGGACACATGTGGTTTAAACAACTACTATGGCACCACCTACTGAAATGCGTGTATCAAAAATGACGCGCAATTTGAATCAATCAGTTGTATATTGACCACTCTGTATAAGTGAAAATCAAAAACACCAAAACTTGTTGTTACAAGTATATCTCATTTTTATTTGATCTGGAATCTTAATTGCTTTTGTATGCTGCCGTGTTGCAGTGTTGCCGAACCGAAAGAAGAACGGAATCAGTAAATAGTGTCGTTGTATTCGGTAGGGGGAAAATCTGCACCGTCGCCAGATCGGATGAATAACCATTTGTAGAATTCTTCACAAATACAATTATCGATCATTCAACTACCAATTACACCAACAACCGAAGATTAATTTATTGCAACTAGTTTTTGACTAAATACAGAGAAGATGGGCGTTTTCCGTTCAGAATTATTTATTCAGATGAAATTCGGTTTACTAACTTGGGTATGTTCAATCGGAATAATAAAAAGTTTTGGTCACAAACAAACTCCTACGTCTAACACAAGAAGGAAATTTTCAAGAGCGATTTAGTTTCAATTGCTGGATGGGTATTATCGGAGAAACTTACTGCGGGAAGATATCTACAGTTCATAAATAATGAATAAACGGTTTCATTGAAGATTTGCCACTGACTAACCAAGTTGATATCAATTTTACATTTTACATGCGGTAAGAGAACTTCTGGATGACACCTTCTTAGAAAAGTAGATTGTGACTAATGGACCTGTTCAATGGCCTCCGAGGCACATCCTTAAGTTGTCATATTTTGTTTGTAACGTCTAATTTATTTTTTATATTTTAGATCACCAGATCTTACTCCGCTGGGGAATAATTAAGTTAATCAATGTGGTGCAAGCAACAATTGATAAAGGTGATCAAGCAGGAGGCCATTTTGAACAGTTAGAACCTTGATGGCACATTATACGTCTATTTCTATTTCTTATCCTTCACTGGCGATAAAGTTATTCGCATTTTTTTCTGGTTCGTTGCACATTTTGTATTTCGAAAGCAACACCTTGAATTGTTTGTTTCGGATAGCTATAATAATAGGACTTGGTGCAAAGGTATACCGAAAACAGATACGTATTTTTTGTTGTTAGGAATGGATCATTTCTTACAATTATTCAGAAAAATAGTGAAAATAAAATAAGGGTGTGCAGTGTCAAGTTATTCGTAAGAAAATGGCCTATTGGAAACAGCCGATGAGCTACCCTCCTTCTATTTGAAAAAATCAAGTAAACTGAAAAAAATGGTGTTTGTAACTTCCAGAAAACCTTTAAATCGAATATAAGGTAATTCGCCTAAAAATCGTATTTTTTCCGTGTTACTTGATCAAAAATGGAGCGACTTACAGGATGCATGGCATTCTAGTTCGAAAAATAAAAATTGATATAAAAATGACTTTATTTGTCAAATATTGACAAATGAGGAGTTGTTGAGTTCAGAATGTCATTCTCGAACGAAATAAGCAAAGATATATAAGGTGCCCCATTTAAAAATCGAAAGTTGGAGTCGTTTCCGGTCAAACCGAAAGTACTTCAAAGCAAGTGAATAGGTCCAAAAATGTAAGTCCATCTGTAGTACGCAACCCACAAATTTCAATAATAAAAAAGTTACAGGGATGAGCCACCTTGAAGAATCACTCTGTATACTATGGCCTACACCTACTAAAACATTTACAATATCTGCAATCTATGATTGAATATTGTAATTACTTTTGTCTGAAGATTAATAATTTTGTGGAAGACTTATGATGTAATTGGGTTGCATGTATGATGTGTCTCTCATACTGCTACACTTTGAAGCACCTTTGGAGTTCTTTGATTTTGAGAGGGTTTTGTAGTGAAGGATTTCATAGGGAGCTACCGACTAGCACTGGCTACCTGGTGGAACTCTGAGATAAAGTATCGTGAAAGGTGAATTATAACGTGTAATATTAATAAAGTCCTTAATTTGGCATCTGTTCATGTGTAGAAATTTTCATGAAATTACTGCTCTCACTTATGCATATATTTTTAACAACAAAAGGCTATGTCGCTTGAAACATTTTTTCAAATTTAACAGGCAGAAGTGCTAAAATGACTCTAGATTTTGAGCCAAAGTTATAAAATTGTGGCCACTTGCATATTACATCCTTTTTATAATTCTGAGTAATATTAATCATGTTGATATGATTTTGAAGATAATCGATCAACTCTAAAATATTTTGATGCTAAACTGTTATCTCATAGTTTGACAGCTTTTATATGCTTCAAATGCCATTGGTTGCTTCAATTTGACGGTGGGTGGTGGGTTTTTAAATGTGTTTGGTACAAAATAGTGGCTAATCTTTGGGTGAATCCACCCTAAAAGTGGCTGAATTATATTTTTACCGACTGTTACCTTTGTTTGAAGTTTGAAAAAGTTATAGATTTTTTGCTATTTCCTTACAGCTATTTCCAAAATGTTAATCAAAAACTAAACAGTTGTCGAACTGAACTTTCAGATACTTTACTACGGTGGCATGGTCATGAGAGGCACTTTGTCGCACTGGCGGACTTAGAAAGCTGGTTATGACCCCCATGAACCCCTGGATCCGCGCTTGCTATTACCGTGCATATTTTGCGTCGCTGAAACCTAATCCGAAATCATTCCGAATGTATAGTTTCATTATGATGTCTTATTATTAGGTAAAAAATTACTGAATTACTCAAATAGTAAAATTATTTTTTTTCTATAGGTGAGTAACTGGAGATGTTGCAGGCTAGGTGGCAAGGTGGTAAGTCAATTCGTTGCTTTTTTACTTAAAAAACCGCATCGACCTACTGAGGAATAGCAGTGGCAGATATCTGCTATAACGCACACATTACTTAGCTTTAAGAAACGTAAAGGGTTGTGTATGTTACAGTTTGATGTTAAAATATGGTCAACGAAGTGAAGTTACATTCTACTCTATAACATTCTGTTAACAGGCACTGTATTAATACTCGTATGTGTTTGACATTGGGATAAATTTCACACACTTGACACATGGTACTGGCTCCTGGGTGATGAAATGTTCATCAGTAATCCCATGTGCACTCGCCCTGAGAATACGGTTGATCTTGAAATTTGCATATTTAGCATGCTTTTGTACATAATTATTGAGATTCCTAGGATCTGGCCTCCCTGAGTTTATTTGCTACCCCCGCTCTCAAATTTTTTTTGGATCAGGTACCCTTCCACAATAAGCTCTCACTTGCCGATGATCGGCCCGGGAGAAAAATTCTTCAGGCGCCCATGGGTGATGTGGTTGAGGCCTAACCGGAGTCAGGTGATGTGGATTTGGTGTCTTCTGCTGATTGTGTTTTTAGTCCACAATCCACAACTCTAGATTTTAGTTCGAATAGCTTTGATGGATTGTTCTGCTAATTGGCGTTTCAGGTTTCAATGATTCTGTTTTATTCATATCGGTAGCTGGGATGCTTATCTTTTAACTGGGTTTGATACTTATTTTGCGTGAAAATCTGCATTGTAGTTGCCCTCAATACCAGCATGTGAAGGAGATCTTACAGAAACAACATTGTGGTTTTCTCTTTGTAGCGATTCGTTTTATTTTTTTATACAGCACAAGGTTAAATACCGGGTCACCGCGGCTGCTAGAAGGAGTTTAAAGACACTTTGTTAATCCGATTTTTGAACTGCCTAAGGTTAGCCGAACTGGGAAACGCTTTCTCAGGCAGACTGTTTCATAATCTCGACACCCTACGGACAACGAAGCGGTCGTGCCGGCCAGTTCTGGATGTATGAAGATCGACACGGTTAGGGTGGGACCCGCAAGTCAGGCGTGTCCGTCTGGCAGGTTCATAGCGCGGCAGCATGGAGGAGATTTCTGAGGAGCAACGTCCGTTGACATACCGGTAAAAAATGGCCAGCTCGGCAACAACCCGCTGGTACAAAAGGGTCCCGAAACTGTCCGTTATAGAAGAGCCTTCGATAAGTCGGGCAGCCCTCGTCTGAACAGCAAATATGTATATGGGTAGTACTCGAGGCTAGGTTATGTGGTCAACTAGTTCTAAACCATAAACAAATAATCTAGCGTATATCAGATCCTCGGTCATCTGGACCAGGCGGAACCGACGACTGCTTGGCAGAAAATGGATGAGCGCTAGGGCACTTCTTATTAGTCAAGGTACAGTACTGTGTTTTGGAAGAGTCAAGCTGTACCAGATTGTTTCTTTCCCAAGCAGTATTAACAACCAGATCTCTCGTTAGGGAAGGAGACGCTGCTGGTATTCTTTTCTCCAGGTCAAAATCAGAGATCGGCTTGGCACTCTGAATTCCTGCATGTGGAGTGCTGTCATTAGCAAAGCTGTTGATCTGCCGGATCCGATTTACAGAAAATTGGTAGAGTAGACAAAGAAGCTTAAACCATCCATCGTTCGATGCGATTTGTACTGTTATCGCATTCAGCGGTTTCCATATGCCCCCCTCCCACCATAAACCTCTTTTAAAATTCCGGAATACACACATACCTATTTCCTGTGTTGTTTTTGCTGGGGAGGACGCATGCCGATCTCGCACAAATAATTGATACACATTTATTACCGGTACTCGCTAACTGTGAAATTGGCTTCGGGCATGTTTTTTATATCCCGGCCACAAATTAATTTTGGAATTTAGCTGGGTGCTGGGTTATAATTGGTCCTTGTTATATGGTATAGAATGGTGATATATTTGCCCGGTAGCTACGTTTTAAAACTTTGACGACAAATTTTAATAGATGTCTCACGAGTATTTTGAATATGAACAAGGAAATGAAAAAAATTGAAGTTTTGTTCACTTTTGTATCCAATTTTTTTGTTTTCCATGGACCTGGGCTTCTTCGAAACAGACAAAAGATCTATTCGACTTTTCTTCTAGAAATGGCACTTTACAAGATTTAACGTGTGACGACGTTACGTTAGATGAAAAACAGTTATCAATTTTAAGTTTAAGGAGTTCCAGTTTTCTTGGTTAAACATCCCACGTAGAACTACTGCGATCGATCACTAAACAAGTTAAAGTGAGGCAACAATAGAAATGTTGGACAATGGCTGATGGGAGCGATTTGGTTGAAACATTTTCAAAAAGATGGCACTATCGGTGTATCGGAAGTATGTAGATACCACCTCGCTCATTTTAAGTAGAAGGATCTGTGTATTATTCAGTGTTTTGCGAGATTTTAAATACATTTCATGTATATCAATCATATACCTATGTCTAACCATTTTTGACTTACCTTAGTAGATTCTGTTCAGGATTTATATAACAAATAGTACAGAATGGACTATAACTAGAATGAAGGTTATATTCCAGAAAACCCAAAAGGTCAACTACTTCAAATGGAAACGACCATTCTACAGTTACATGGTATTAAACCATTGGAAATAAAGTAAATTCTTAGATGCGAGAAATAATTTACTAGCTTAACAGAAAAACACAATATTTTAGCTCGCATACGATCTTGACTTCAAATAAGTGAATGATACTGTAATTTAAGAGTGAACCTGTGAAACATTCCATGGCTTTTTGATGTTAGGCTCGGTATTTGCATGGCCCGCATAGTATTCGAGTATCTTTTAAAGCTGAAATCTTTCAATCTCATTCCATTCCTCATTAGGTAACGAATTACTACAATTTTCACTTTTGCTATTAACGACCGTCGTGCTTAAATGTAAACAAAGCGCTCCCAGTGCCTCTATCGATAATTAATGTATTTATTTTACATTTCATGAAATGATCAATTTTACGATATGTTTACGATATATATATATATATATATATATATATATATATATATACTGGGTTCGCTGTCTTTTAGGTATTGAAACATCGAATGACTTTGATATTTACCAACCGAGTGATTTGGTTATACGTGTTTCTGAAAAGTCAATTTACTACAATTTTAGTCATGAATCGCTTTACACCGAAACAAAGCGCCGAAATAGTCACAATGTACATTGAAAATCGGCGTTCAGTGGTCTTAACGCAACGTGCATATCGTCGAAAATATCGAGGCAAACAGCCACCGTCTGACAACACTATCCGTCGTTTGGTTTCGAATTTTCTTGCGTACGGGACAGTGGGAGATCGTCAACATACTTCATCAACGACCTCTTGGTCATCTTTGTTCCAATGAATTGGTTGAAGCGGTCAGAGACAGCGTTGCCCAGAACCCAAAAGTGTCGTATCGTCACCGCGCTCAGCATTTTGGCATCACTGGAACCACGTTGCGGTGCATTTTGAAGGTTGATTTGCATTTGTTTCCTTATAAGGTGCAGTTAACACAAAAAATATTGCCAACTGATCGTCCACGTCGCTTGGAATATGCCCAAACAGTCGCTCGCATGGTTGATGCTGAACATGTTTTTTGGAAGCAGATTGTGATAACCGACGAGGCCCATTTCACTCTCTCTGGCGGCGTTAATAAGCAAAACTGCCGCATTTGGGGGACGGAAAATCCACATGAGATCCACGAAATGCCGTTGCATGACAGGGAAGTGACTGTTTGGGTCGGCGTTTGCGCCAAAACCATCATTGGGCCATTTTTCTTCAACGAAAACGAAACAGTCGATGGAAATTATGTCTGCCCCCCAAATGCGTGAAAAAGGTATTGATGGTTATTGTTTTCAATAAGACGGTGCGCCATGCCACACTGCAAATGAAACAATCCAGTTTCTGCAACGAAAATTCCATGGACATCTGATGTCAAAAAGAGGTGACATTGACTGGCCACCCAGGTCTTCAGATTTGACCCCACCGGACTTCTTCTTGTGGGGTTATTTGAAAAGTCAAGTGTATGTCAGCAAGCCCCACACCACTGAAGTATTCAAGGCAAACATTCGTACTGCAATTGCCGCTATACCACCAGAGATGCTCGAAAAAGTAATGGAAAAGCAGCAAAATGGGCACATTTTGTTTTGGCCAATAAAGGTGGCCACTTGATAGATGTTGTGTTCAAAAATTAGTCCCAATAAATTGTAAAGGACCTTTTTTAATAAAAGTACGCGATATATAGAAACCAGTTTTTCGTTCTCAAAGTTATTTCATGTTTACATACCGACATAAAAGATGGCGCATACTCGTATATATATATATATATCGAAAACTACTTAATTGAGAAGTAAACGACCTTATACAAAGCCAGCTTCATTGTCAATTCTAAATTTTAATATGACGAAATTATAAAAAAGCTGTTCCATTTGAAAAAATGGACTTTCTAGATTTTCATAAATCTAATTTCCATTCTTCTGTCTTGGAATCTGGAATACAATTCACTAAGATAGGTCCCTACTAAAAGAAACCCATTACAAATCATATGGCTAAGGCAAATTACGAGAAAAGTTTGTTATAATTCCTTGGCCTATATTGGTCTACTTTTACACCAAATTTGAAATACATATTTCAAAATTGTTTTTGAAGCATTGTTGTCTGCCTTCCTCACAATTCATGTACAAGACCTTATACGCTCAGTAATATTTTTTGAGTGTGTGCCTTGAGTAATCATACTGAGAAAAAATATCTTCTGGATAAAGGCAAATGTTCAGTGGGCTATGCTAGCTTCGAGATACTGCATGCTGAAACAGTTGGCGCGTTATTAAAACTGAATTTTTGTCGCCTTTTTGATCCACACAGCCACGTTCCGATGCGAAAAGATTAAAAAGGATATGCAGCCAACGGAGCTCGTGGAGCTATGAATAGTTAATTTTTATGGTGGAAGTGGTGACGTTATAAAGAACTTCGGGATCGACAGAATATATACAAAGTTATGAAACTCAACGTAAGAGAGACTGAATAGTATCTGTCTGCTTCTCTTTGTGTGTCCATGACTAACCGTATACAACGTCGTTTGACGCTTGTTAGCAATCATCAGTACGGTATAGGGGCCTTTCTGCGTTTTCCGCGTACGGGTCGAAGATCTATCAGCTTTGGCGAACTAAGTATTTTTGGGTGGCAGAAAAAAATCTATGGCTTGGGGCAACGAGGTAGCTAAGGCCTGTATCGCCAGTCGTCCCTACAATTGTAGAGCGCCTTTATGGCGTCCTTGATTGTCATGGTTTTCTACTTCTCCGTGTCAGCACTCTATTTTGAGGTTATGTCACAAACATCTATTTGCATCAAATTGTGTTTCCTTTTGAGTTATATCATGTTTTATCAGAATGAAATTTCCTACAATTTAAAAAGAAAACATATCTTCACAATAGGAGAGCGCTGACGCTGACACGGGACAAGTGTAATCTAGAAATTTTTGAAGTAGAGGAAGGAGTATGACAATCAAGGAGGCCATAAACGCGCCCTACAATTGTAGGGACGACTGACGATACGGGCCTAAGCCACATTGACCTCATTTCGAAGAATCTATGTTTTATGTAAATAGTAAAATCAAACGTTACTTGCTCGAATTTGATTGAAATGCTATAGCAGTTTTACATTTTGAGGAACAAAGATTTGGTGACAACAGAATAAAAAATAAATAACGGATTTTCGTAAAATATTTTTTTTTAAATAATGTGATTTGGTGCCTCATTGAAGAGAAAGTTATACTCCAAGGATAATTTCAAATTTTTTTATATAAACGTTTAATTTGGGTGTTCATTTTTAGACTTAAAACAGCAAACTACTATGACCGACTCCTTAGCTACGTTAAAGTTCTTTTTGCGACAGATATCTCGCCAAATGTTCCTGAAGACTGAAGATCACAAGCCACACAGGTGAATTTATTTAGTCAACATTCAATCCTTCATCACAAAATACAAACATATGGTTAACGACAGTCGTTCTCAATAAGAAAAATAAGTTTTGATAAACAGATGGTTTGAAATCATTATCTATTGATATTGTTAAACTAAAACAAAAAATAGTTTTATAGATAACAAAAGCATGAACATAATTTGTTTGTCTATCGACTGATTTCCATTTGGATCCCATCTTGGAATTCAAGTGACATAGCTTTCTTGGCGCAAATATATATATATATATAGAAAAATATCATGCGGAGAAAGGTATATAACAAAAATAGGAAAACAATGGGCAAAATCCGCAAAAAGTGGATTCGAGCAGAAAATAGGATAGGTAACCCGAGCGATACGTATTTCTGCTGGTTGGCTTCATCAGGCCCGAAATGAATGCACATATGCAACTACAAAAGTAGATCCACATGCCCACACATCCGGATATGGGTGTAACCTGAGGAAACGAAGGTGGAGAGGAAAAAAGACACACGAAGTCCACAACAAGAGCTAACCTACACATTGTAGTATAAAATGGCTACAAGACCTCGAATTTTCAAGGCGACAAATAACCACAACCACGCGGCCGGTTATAGCTGCATGATAATTTTCTCTTTGTAGATCCTTTGGGCTTGAAGTACCACAGCAAGTGGCTATAACCGGCCGCGTGGTTGTGGTTATTTGTCGCTTTGAAAATTCGAGGTCTTGTAGCCATTTTATACTACAATGTGTAGGTTGGCTCTTGATGTGGACTTCGTGTGTCTTTTTTTCCTCTCCATCTTCGTTTCCTCAGGTTACACCCGTATCCGGATGTGTGGGCATGTGGATCTACTTTTGTAGTTGCATATGTGCATTCATTTCGGGCCTGATGAAGCCAACCAGCAGAAATACGTATCGCTCGGGTTACCTATCCTATTTTCTGCTCGAATCCACTTTTTGTGGATTTTGCCCATTATTTTCCTATTTTTGTTATATATATATATACATACGCGACGGGTCGAATGGCATATAATAAATAGGTATGTGGACTATCATTCCCGTGGTTGATCTATTCCTAATATTAAATGAATTGTTCATGTCATAGTGCTATCTCCAACTTAGATAACAAATTTCGTTTTAACCTATTTACTGATCATTACTAAATCCATATAATCGGGTGTGATTCAACCCTTTCGCTGTACCTCGCGTAACACTTTCTTGATGATAGGGAGAAATATGTTACACTGAATCACTTCATTGAGAACGTATTATAGGATGGTGCATCGAGGGTCATCCTCTGTGCCTTGTACTGGAAATGCAAAAGGATGGCAATCTTGCTGTTGTTCGATATGCCCCATACGTCCAAATTGGTTTCATCAAAATATTGTAGAGTGATAGCTTGTTGTCTAATGACAGTTTAGATTTCCTACCAAACCGTCTGTCTGAATGCATTCCGAAATACTTATCATGATTTGATTATGGAATTTGTAAATTAGTAACAGTTACTAGCCGACAGGTTTTTCTGCCAAGATGGTTGTCATATTATCGAACTTTGTTTCATTAAGGTCGCATTTTCCTTTTTTCAACTGCCTATTTGGATCAATATCCGAAATCCTTTTGAGTTTACTGAAAGACAAAGCTATCAATTTTTTGTTGTAAAAAAATGCCCTTTTTGTGAATTTTTCTTCAATCGTAACTTATTAACAAATATTAGTACAGCTCTGAAATTGTATCGTTCCACTTTTATTAGTAGAACTGAGTTGTTGGTTACACTCATTTATAATCACTTTTTCTCTTCTAAATATCTTTGATTTTCTTTAAATTTTCAAAAAAGGCAAAGGCTTTTTGCAGAGAAAAAGCGATGAGAAAAAATCATCCGCTCGATTGTTCCACGAAAGTGGAATATACACAAACAATTTTAGAGCTGTACTATTATTTGTTAACAAGTTACGATTGCAGAGACAAATGCATAAAAATTGATACCGTTTTAGCCCCAGAGATCATCAGGAGCCATTCGCAAAGAACAAAAGCAATTTGAGCAACATCTATGAATACTTAATTTTTATCGTAGAATTATTCATTTGATTAGCTCGGCAGTAGCGCGTGTTACATGTGAAAATGGTCCAAGTGAGGCTGTATTTAAGCCGGCGAAAATTTTAGGGGCGAAATACTGCATTCATTTAAAAATTAATGGTCTATTAAACGCGAGACCACACAAATATAAATTAAATGTGGTTTTTGAATTGTTCCATCTCGGGTGCAGTTTTTAATAAATGGGCATGTTAAAATTATAATTCCTGTTATTTTAACAAGCTACGTTGTTCGCCACTAGACACATGGACGTACGGACTCATGTTTGGTCGGTTTTAAGTCAATACAAATTTTCGGAAATATTTTTAAAATTGAACTCAGTCTCATAAGGTGTTTGTATTTGATCACATAATTTGATGTTCTCATGTTCTTTGTTGAAAATTGGCTAAGGAGTACTACAATTTTCAAATATCACCATCTTGTTATATTGAGGTTTCATGACGCGTGTATCTATATGACATTCTGGTTCCTTTATAATTCTATACATTCTAACGTGATACAGAAAATTTAATGTTATGAGGGAGGATGAAAAAAGATTCCCAGTAAGCTTCAGCCACATTGAAAGCTGCGCGGCGATATCCGGCGCACCTGTTCCGCCATCCTCGATTCCCCCTAACTCGAGGAGTACTCGTCTACGACGATTTTTACAAAATACATAATCAGCGCCCATGTTCGTTTTCTCGAGACTACTAATCTCTATTCAATAAGCTTAACTGAGCGCTCACCTACTCTTATAAGAGTGTTCTACTTGTGGCAAAGCAAGAGAATAGCCAAATTAAGAAAAGAGAGAGAATTAATCTTAACATGTTGTAGTAATACGCGCAGATGCTCCCACAGTCTCGGTTCCCCCGGTTCGGCTTGGCTGCGCTGCTCATTCTTCGCTCAGCAGCCGTTCGATATGGAGGTTACCACTGTTGATCCCGCCAAGTGGAGATTCATTCCGCAGTTCATTTCTTGCATACCAAAGGGACTCCACCCGTGGATATTCATCGTCAGTCGACAGATGTGCATGGCAACAAGTGTATGTCCGTTCCACACATCCAAAAGTGGTGCAAGAGTTTAATGCCGGTATAAATAAAGTTCGCGATAAAGAACTTAGTGGACAACTGTCAGTCTTGGAGGCGGTTATTGAGATGGTTCAATGTGAATTGATTCAAAACAGGAGGATCGCCGTCCGGGAACTTGTTGCTCAGATTCCTGGGAGATGGTGTTCCTCCTATTCCACATCACGTTGGATCATTTGGATAACCGCTTCCGTGACTGACAGTCGGCCCCTCCGTTCTTCATCGTGGTCTTCTTATTGATCGGTACTAAACTCTCTGCATAACTTTCGCACGTATTGAATGGACTTGTCGTCATACACCTGTTATCTGAAGATGAGTATCCGTTGGCATGCAGAAACGAATTATGAAGATTCTCTCACACTTGGCGGGAACAATGGAAATAACAATATCAGACGGCTGCTGAGCCAACAATGAGCGGAGCTGCGTACGCGAGTTTTTTACTAGTACCGTATCCATAAAACCCGTATTCACGAGGATCTGGCGACTGTTCTAAAATTTCCGCAATGTTGCCAAACATACTCATGATATTCCAACCTTTTTTAGATCAGGAGATTCAACTCCAAATATCAACCGTCAACATTACATAACCTTTATCTTTGGGGTATTACGGTTCTTGCTTTGTTTTATGGTGATAGTATTTGAGAAACTTGATTTAGTTTGTCATTATTGGCTTGATACTTTTTAAAATGATATATGAAATTCACTAATCTATAACTCACTTGCGTACTTAAACCTAAGCTTGTACGTCGTATTTCTTGAGGTACGAGAGGCAACCAGTATATCGTTAAAGCTGAGACTTTCCTTTACAGAGCGTTTGCTACGCGGTGTCTGGGTTAACCTAGTTTATCTTCAAATCAGATTTAAAAAACCGAACTTGGCACCTTCGTATAGCAATGACGAAGTTCTTGTATTAATGTTAGTTCACGCTGAGTGACCTCAAGATGCTTTTAATACTTTGCGAGTATATTCATATAGTTTTCGTGAATGTTTCTGTTCCCAGCCGCATGTTTTTTATTCGCATCTTTTTAAGATGTACTCTATATCTTGAAAATCAGTTCATTGGAAAATTAGCGAGTCCATCTACTAAGGTCGAAGAAGGTGACTTGAGAGCTTTTTTCAATATTCAAGGGGTCTGGAGGCAGGGCTTGAATTCCAAATTTCAGCGTGTTTCATGAATAATTTGAAGAAATATTGCTATTAAATAAGAGTATTGAGTTGTGTTATAGAATTGAGGAAATATTCTTCTGACACTCCGAATTGCAAAACTCTTGAGGAAGATCCCCGTCAGGACTGTGCCTGTTATTGGCGGGCTTCAGCTCAGTTTGGTTGAGATTTCTACACCAAGACAGAACTGCCTTCAAAACAACTAACACAAAACCAACTAATAAAAATATGGACGCCAAAAATTCATTATACAGTATAAAATAGGCTGTGACTGCGCTTAATGTTACATTGGTAGAACATTTAGAATTAAAGGACATATAACAAAGGAAGAAACGTCAAATTAGCTCTATTCGAGCATAAATGGAAAACGGCATGAAGTTAAATATCCTTGAAGGGAGAATGTACCACGAATTTCTTATTTTCAGATTTTTTCTTATAGTTTGTCAATGAATCTGAAATCCGCAGATATTTTACTTCTCCATCATAATGATGGCTTCGCGCAATACATTGCATGGAAAAAAGAGTAGATAAAATAAATTAACTGTTTCCTGAAAACAAAATGAATCCTGTGAACATGACTACCACAGGTTAAGTTTCAGGAGTTACATTAGCCGAGAAGTCTCTCTCCAACGTATCGAGAAAGAGGGATAATATTCCGCAAGAGGCATCAATCAAATCAACCAGATCTCTTGGGCCTTGGATGCAAGAGCGTACTCAGCTCAAAACCGTAGGGGGAGGCACCTTCAGAAAATTGTTTGGTGGAAGTTCGTATCTACATAACTATGGTTGAAACTGCTCATTCTGTTTGCATTTCATTTATATAGATTCTTGTACGATGCTTTGCCAATTTATATGGCTATGGAAAACATTACTCTTTTGAAACATTGAAGCATGTTATATGTGAATCCTGTTGTGAAAGAAATTGTACAGAATGATTTATACATTCTTTAGATTTTTATCACACTTAAAATGTATAAGTCTACAGAAGAACTGTTAAAGAGATGAAAACACTTTCAAAATGGGAATGCCCAGTAATTGTCTCCAAAGTTAATTGGTTATTGCAAAAAATCTTCCATTTTATGCCGAACAGTGAGTGCATAAGAGTAAATAGAAGCCAAAAGTTGAAGCCTTTGTAGTGACTAATAGCGACAAGTTGGGCATATAGGGTAAGTTTTCAGTATCTAATTGGACAATATCTCCATTACTATACAACAGAAATGTAAGCGTTATTTACAAAAACCGTGGACTATATGCTTTCTACTAGGAATATACCGCTCTCCACAGGGCGATCCATTCAACATGAGTAGATGTCTTATGGGGATTCGGTCTCAAAACTTCCAAAATCCGCCACCAGAGGCGCTGGCGTCGCGCGCCATTGACAGGTTGTTGGACGGAATCTGTAATCATGAGTTGGGGATTCCGCCGCTAGATGGCGCTGTCAAACCAAACGGAATCTGTGTGTCATTGGACACCTGTCATGCGTCATTGGGCATCTCACGCATAGATGGCGTTACACGTCATCTGTCATACGTCATTGGACACCTGTCATTGATGGGTTGGGCATCTCGCGCATAGATGGCGCCGATTTGTTTGGCGCTGTACAAACCAAACGGAATCTATGTGTCATTGGACAGCTGCCATTGATGGGTTGGGCATCTCGCGCATAGATGGCGCCGATGTCGCACCTGTCTGGTGTTGGCGTGGATTACGGGGGGCATTCAGAACGTGTATACAGGGGTGCATCGAAAAATAGCGGATCGATGGACCGACGGTATATCGTTAAATCGTATATAGCAAGGCGTGACCTAAATAGCGTGGTGGGCTCCTCTGGTCGGTCGGTCGGTCGGTCAGAATGTCTCATAACCTGTATACGATGTACTGTTATTATTATACAGGATGATACCGTTCAAAATGAAAATAGTATAGACATTCTGACAATTATTTCGCAAACCAGAGGTATTTTCAATAAAACTACAATAATACGTTTAATATTTTATTGAAAATAGAAAAAACTACATAGGTAATATGATATTTGAAAACCAGTGGCGTAGACGTTCAACATTTCTCTGGGTACAGGAAAATTGTCCGTTGGTGTGGCATGGATTGGAATCAGCAACAAAGTTTCCAGTAGCACACGGTGTACCATCATACTTGCAAACATCAATAATGTTGGGAAAAACACCAAAAATGTGACATTTCTTGAGTAAAAAGTTTGCTTTCTGTTCTCCACGAACGTAGACATAGTCAGCCGCATATATCACCTTATTTTTAATTATTTCATTTAACTTGGAATATTTAACGTCGCCGGAAGAATATTTAAGCCCATGGAAATTCTTCTCCAAGTAAGCGACAGTTTTCTTGTCTTTAGTATTTAATGTAGAAAAAGGTTGCGGAGGTGTAAAGATGTAATGACTTTTCTTGAAACCAATTTCGATACATAGTTCTTTAGGTACGAATAATCCGTCAACTGTAAAGCCTTGAATGTCAACAAACGCGATCCTCATGATGTCTGATGCGGAACTGAGAGTCCTTCGTTGCTTACGAGATGGTTTTAATAACTTCGGTGAGGGGGAAGTACTCGATTAAGCAGTCATGTATAATGATGCAGTAGGCCTTGGTGTTGGTTGGAAAGCCAGTATCGGCTTCGATATCCAATCTAACATCAACAGTTGATGATTTCATGGTTTCCTCTTGTTTGGAACAGTCAATAACAAACAAAGCGCGATTTTTAAAAGCGGTATAATCTAAAAGACATCTCTTCAGAGGAGAAGAAGAAGTTGTATAGCTGGTTTGAAAGTCGCTATAGTTGAAATGAGCTTCAGTAAAGTGATTGTTTGCAAAGTCCAATTGCATACGTTCGTTGGGATAGTATTCACCATTTAAAGATACTCGAATACTAGCAGCATTCACGTGATCAAACAGGGTCGGGTCTGAGGTTGCGACGTCACGTTTACCGGTTTGGAAACATACTATAATGAAACGTGGTCTTTCGATTGCGGTGCTAGTTTTAACTGACCATATTTCTCTTCTCGCATCTGCGGTAATTGCAGGCAGTTCATTCAGATCCCATTTTCTAAATGGTATAAGTATCGGCTTATCAGTTTGAATAGCTTTCAAAAGTTGTTCTTTCACATCATCACTCGGGTAAATATGTTTGATTTTCAGTTCCATGCTTTCAATAGTTATTTTCGCTGTCGTCGTTCCAGTTTTTTCCTTGATAATGATACAATCGTTATCGTTTCTAGCTCTCACAAATCTGAGAGTTTGTCTGCCACACGTAATCATAGGATAATCATTGAAAATGTTGAAAATATGTTTAAGCGGCATTAGCAAGCTAAAAGACTTGTTATGTGTTGACGCCATTATAGGTGTTGAAGGATAGTTCCATCCAGCTATAGCCATATGATTTGAGTCTTCCTCACTGTAACATACGTAAGCTCGGACAGTACTTACAATACCAGGATCACGTACTGTTTCAACTTCTCTAGCGGATTCACTGTAAGTGCAAGAGTCAAATAGGAAGGCACCAAAGTTTGGAGCTAAAGATACATCTCCTGCTCCTCCTCCTCCAGTTATTTCAACTTTTCCTTTGATAGATAGAAGGGAAGCGTTCATTGCAAAGAACGAATCTACTTGATTGATGCTAAATTCCACAACATCATTACAATTAAATGACTTGATGAACGGCGTATAAGATCTATACTCAGCCTTGCGAATAGATTCATCGAATGCTGGAGATCGATATAGATCAAACATCGGAGAAGTATGTGATGCTGCTGCTGCTGCCTCCTCAGTTTTTCTCTTTTTGTACATGATTCTTGTTGTTGTTGACATGATATCCAAGTGAGCGTAGAAACAGGATATTTGATGTAGTTAGTAGTAGATGTCGTCGCTTAGGTGCTTGGGGTAATACTGAAGTTGCCTTGGAAGCACCACTATGTCTTATAATCACTAATCCCATCTGCGCTTCGCTCTCAACTCCAACACAAGAGTACTAGTTTCACCTTGAAAGTTTACAGGACGACCGTCTTGATCTAAAGCCAACACTGTGATGTTGGTTATTTCTTGTTTCGGTA